CCTGTAGTCACAAGCTGACTTGCCTAATCTATTTAATCCCTCGCTCCGTCCTCTGCCAGGGGAACGTAGGTTTAATCGCTATCGGTGCATCTTCTCAGCTACGAACGATGACTGTCAACGGCGCTTCCAACGGTACTTCCAACCGCCAGGCCCTGGACTTGACCGTCCTGGGCTTGAACAGCGGCACATCAATGGTGAGTAGGAACGGAGTTATCACAAAAATAGAAGACTAACAAAACTTGCAGGATGGAATTGACTGCGCTCTATGCCATTTCCGTCAGGAGACTCCGGAGTCTCCCATGCATTTCGAGCTTCTCAAGGTACGTCAGACAGTATCCTCAATCGCGACAGTCAGTGTGACGACTGACACACATGGCCTTGTTAGTATGGCGAAATCCCCCTCGAGCAGACCATCAAGAAGCGGGTTATGAACATGATCCTTCACAATAAGACCTCCCCGTCGGAGCTATCGGAAGTAAACGTCATTCTGGGAGAGACATTTGCAGCCGCCGTCAAGCAGTTTTGCCAGGACCACGAAGTCGACATCTCGACCATCGATGTGATCGGTTCTCACGGTCAGACCATCTGGCTCCTCTCCATGCCGGAGCCAGGCGAAGTCCGCAGCGCGCTCACCATGGCCGAGGGCACTTTCTTGGCTTCTCGCACCGGAATCACCACCGTCACCGATTTTCGGGTCAGCGACCAGGCTGCTGGTCGCCAGGGCGCGCCGTTGATCGCCTTCTTCGATGCCTTGCTACTACACCACCCGACCAAGCTGCGCGCCTGTCAGAACATTGGCGGAATCGCCAACGTATGTTTCATCCCGCCTGACTCGCACGGAGGTATCGATGCCTGCTACGATTTCGACACCGGCCCGGGCAATGTTTTCATCGATGCCGTGGTCCGCCACTACACCAACGGCAAGCAGGAGTATGACAAGGACGGCGAGATGGGCGCCCGCGGCACTGTCGACCAGGAGCTTGTCGACGAATTCCTGCAGAACCACCCATACTTCCGCCTCGACCCGCCCAAGACTACTGGCCGCGAAGTCTTCCGGGACACCATTGCATTTGAGCTCATCCGCAAGGCGGAAAGCAAGGGACTCAGCCCAGACGACGTGGTCGCGACCGTCACCCGCATCACAGCCCAGGCCATCGTGGACCACTACCGTCGCTATGCGCCCAAGGATCTCCAGATCGATGAGATCTTCATGTGCGGCGGCGGGGCATACAATCCCAACATCACCAAGTATCTCCAGAAGCACTACCCGAACACGCGCATCGTGATGCTGGACGCTGCGGGCATCCCCGGCGGCGCCAAGGAGGCCATCACATTCGCCTGGCAGGGGATGGAGGCGATTGTTGGCCGTTCTATCCCCGTCCCTACCCGTGTCGAGACGCGGCAGGAATATGTACTTGGCAAGGTATCGCCAGGCAAGAATTATCGGAAGGTGATGCGACAGGGTATGCAGTTTGGGGAAGGGCGCGACCACCTCTCTCCGGTTAGTGAGATGGTAAATTATGTCAAGGGGAAGGTGTTTGACAATAAATGGTGATTCGGGTTCATGGGTATGAATGTAAATGTATTATAGGATTAACGCAATGATTTATGAAAAGTTTACATTATGATGATGAGTTTGGCTTGACTTGAAATATGACTGTGACACAACCATAGGAAACAAGACCAAAAGCAATTATATATACCTTCTCTAGTATGGTAAGGCAGAAGTGCGTAGCAGTACCTCCGTGACTTTTCCGAAACTGTTCCAGGCACTGTATATATATCTGTGCTCATGATAGACGATGTAGAGAGATACAGTTACACTTACAAGCTTAACTTGATCAACAGATATAACTTTCTATTATTATGAGAAGAAGAAACCATATCCATCCAGGTTCGCAGCTCAGTATGGATCGTCAAAGATCGGTCGTTCTGCTGTACATATCGTTAGGGTATGGGCTGCAGAAGTGTCAGGGTGGGGTAGTCTGGAGAAGGATTATTATGCATCCATTAGCATGCCACGTCTTGTGCCGACTTACTTGACTTACTTTTCTCAGTATTCCGAGTTTTGACCGAATCATGCCGAGCTATTGTCCGTACCACTTAATAGCAGGGAAAGTAGGGAATACCTCGGTAACTTCTATGTAATTGGTCAGCAGCCGCCACTGCAACGGACGCCACGGATCGTCAGTTCGACGCGTTTAACAGTTTAACAGCTTCATTTCCACGCCCTCCCTAGCGTACTACCTAGTGTCAGACCATCGTGGGAATGTCGCAACGTCCGCGGAAATTTCAGCGCACTTCTAAAGCTTGTTAGTGGCTCCTATCAAAGCTATATCCGTGATTTGTTTCCTAACAGTCCATAGGTGACTTCTGCCACCGACGTAGCATAAAATGCAATAAGGTCAACGGCCCTCTGGCGCCCTGCCAGAACTGCGCGGACTTTGGTATACAGTGTACATATGATCGTCCGGCCAGGAGGCGAGGTGCTCCGAGAAATGCCAGTTTAGCAGAAAACCAGTCTACTCGGCCAGTCGGCTTGGATGCTGGCGCAGGATCCTCCTCCTCGCATTCAGCTCGTCCTGATGCTGTCAGACAGCCTGGTGCTGCTGATTCACCATGGGACATTCTGAATGGCACCTGGACGACCGCTCCAACTTCCAATGATGGAGCGTTGGTAAATTCGTGGAAGGCATTTGCTATTGGCTGTCAGAACACCATTCACGATCTCGCTCACGTCTATTTCGAGATTGTATATCCCATGTATTTATCTCCTTATCCAAGAACGCGGGACGGCTGGGCTAATGGCCTTATTTCGGATAGATTTCCCTTGTTACATCGGTCGTCATTCCTGATGCGGCTGGAAAAGAGAGAGTACCTCAAGGATCGGGGTTTATTCGCGTTGACAATGGCCATGTGTGCCTTGGCCTCTGCACGGGTTCGTGACGGGGCCCTGTATTCAAAGCGCTGGCGTCCCTCGCAACTCGCAAATCCTCCGTCCGAGGTCTTTTGCGCCGCGGCAAAGGAATCTATTCCGCGAGACCTGGCCGCAGCGAAGGGTACCGAATACCTGAGGACATGTGCCATTCTCAGTATTGCCGGCATCCAGAATGGACAAACCCAGGACATGCAGCAGTATGCGGGGATCTACCATACGCTGAGTGCAATGGAAGGCCTGCATGATGAGAAGCTATGGCCCAAAGATTTGAGCCCGGTGGAGGTTGAGGTCCGGAGAAGGATGGTATGCAAGCGTTTCCCCGTCTCATACATTGCGTGCATAATACTGCTCCAAGTCTAACAGCCGTGCTAGTTCTGGTCCATATATACGTTAGATGTCTATTCGTCCATCGTATGGGGCGGAGTCATCCGCTACCGAGAAGCGCAGTCCAATGTACAGTATCCGAGTGAGGAGGATGACGATTCTATCCCAGACACGTTGTCCGTCCAAGGAGATCCTAATGGTGCTTACGGCGGAAAAGGACAACCGAGTCAGTGGATGCGTGGCTGGAACTTCACCACCGACCTTTACCGAATACTGGAGCATGCCGTTGATTGCCAACGATGGCGGCCGCCTTCAAACACGGACGGCAAGACCGGAGTCTGGTCGTTATTCCGTCCAGTCCCAATGACCGCGTCTTTAGTCATGGACCACGTCCTTTCGATGTACTCTTCTCTGCCTGCGCAGTTTCGAGAGACTCCGCCAGTCACTGGCGATCCGGCTCGTGATATCGTGGGCTTCCAGTCAGCTAACATTCAAGCAACCCTCCAACTTCTGCGCATGGTTCTGTTCGCAAACGAAGATCCAGGGGCGGACGGCAAATGTGACGTCGCAGGGCAAGTCCTAAGCGTCTTTTCCAAAGTGCCAGTCGAATATCTGAAAGCTATCAGTTCTCCTTTGGTATGTTCCCTTTCTCATGATCCGATGATCTGAGACTGATTCTCGAAGCTGCATCATCTGGGCGGAATTGGCTATATCCTTGGGTCGGTCATGGAAGGAAGTCTCTCGGAGAGATCTTATCGACGAGTCCGCACGCTCCTGTAGGTCATCCCCTGCAATTCCCCACAGACATACGCCGAAACTCATGGCGATAGATTGGAAATGGCCCAGCTTCTGCATCGGTTGGAATCAGGGCTGCGGCGGTCCACTGGTGCCAGCGAGAGACTCAAAGCGCAGGTAGGTCGCATTGACGAGTACATGCGCATGCAAGCATCGTCGACTATGTCCACACGAAGGTCGTCACTTAACCCCGACAATATGCCGTCGGAAGATCATCAAGACAGCATCGAAACCATACACGAACCTCTAACCGGGTTCGAGGACCCTCTCACTCAGATTCAGCTGCCGCCAGAACTACTGGATGACTGGCCGTGGCCGTTTGATACGAGTCTTTCCGAGGGAGTGTTCCCAATACCGTTCATCAAGTGAGACGGTGACAGGCGAGGCCTTCGCTTTTCAAGAATGCGTAACTCTCTCCCGATTTGCTCTGTGCACCACTCAGTAGCAGCAGCCTCTGGCCACAAGCAAAGATGCAGGTCTTTACACATTTCTGGAGACCAACCCAACACATGGCTAGTTCACAAAGGTGACTACGAGTCTAGCTCACACCCTTTTCATCGGCACATAATCCTATGCTCTCCCAGCAGATCACGTTGCACTCATCCCGTGACTCCCTGACCAAACTACCACTATTTGGGGTGCTGTTACGTGGCTCTGTTACATCACACTATTAAATGTGAGAGTATCGAACCAGTCGGCAGAACCATTCATCAGTTGCCTCAGTTGCGGCAAGTCTTGAATAAGCAGAACTTTGCTTATTGTTATTTCTTGTCATATCAAATGGTATGCCTCTAACGGTCACAACCCTTCGGAAACTGGTATAGTTTGCCTCTCGAGGTGGCAGTGGACCATTTTTGGCCGTCATGGATCATCGTCGTGGAAACAATGTGCTTTTTCAATTGGAATACACTACCCAGCTCCACAAATTCTCCATGAGGACAGACTATTTAAAGCCATTTACCTCGGGTAAGACCGCTTCAATCAAAGACACCTGGCTCCTGCAGTCCCAAATCTTCTTCAACTTCAATCCTGCCGCCTGGAGGAGGGCCTTGAACTCGGCTGGCGTCCGCTCAATCCCGTTGATACACGACATCATGGTGATATCCCGGCTGTGGCTGAACCGCGTGTGGCTGCCGTAGTTGGCCGGCAGCGGGCTCGGGGCTGACTCCAAGTCAGGGTCGCCGATGGTCGTGTTCATGACCTGATCACAGATCAACAGGCGAGAGTGCGCCGCCATACTCGAACGAATGGCCGACAGGATGCGCACGCAATAGTCGTCCGACCAATCATGACTATTGCAGTGTGCAATGTTAGCAACAGCTGTGCAGGGAAAGGACAGCCTTACAGGACATATCGCAGCTGATTATCGGGATAATTCTTGTCTTGTACTCGGGACTCACCTGTATAAGTAGTATCGATCGAGTATAGCCACTGGACCTTTTTTCTATTGTTTAGGTACCTTCACATTGCATCTCCTATCACTATGCCGCAGAATGTCTCATCTCAGAATATTATACAGGCCACTGCTGTCATCACAGGCGCCTTTCTCTCTGGTATGTTGTTATTCTGTGTTCCAATCCATGTAGCAAATCTCACGCCGGTTTAGGAATCATGATGGGACTTTCTCTCATTGACATTCCTGTCTTACTTGGCACTGCTACTCAATCCTCGGAATTATTGCAACACTTCCTACGCCTCTATGACATTGGACATAAGATGATGCCTAGCTTGGCTATCACTATCTGTCTTCTCTACGGCCATGCTACGACCAGCACGCGGGCTACGGGCCGGTCAGGACTACCTCATATTATGGCTGCATGACAACGATCTCGATGGTGCCTTTTACGTGGCTGGTCATGGCCCCGACCAACAACGCTCTGTTCCGGATGCACGCCGATCCAGCTGCAGCCAACCTGGGTGAGGTTCGGCGACTCCTCGTCCGATGGGCGCAGCTGCATGCAGCGCGCTCATTATTTCCCTTGGTGGGGGCGGTTCTGGGTTTCAGAGAGGTCCTCAGAGAAGTAGGCATTAGACGCGAAGGTTAAAGTTACAGTCATGATGAGCATGGTCAGTATGGATAAAAAGGTATTATATAACATACTATAACAGGTGAGATGAAATTATGGAGGATTTATATACCTCGGACCATTATCCTTAGCAACCCCAAATCCCCCGAGTCCCGATGTCTGAAGACCAACTGCCAGCACAGACAGGCCAGTGAGATCACAGATGGTCTTAGATAAATTGATTAGACTTATTGTAACCTCCGTGGCCGAGTGCGCAGGTTATATTATAGTGCGTACACCATACTAATAGAATAAACATAATTACCCTATCTGCAACGACCAGCTAGCAAATCAAAACGTCAGCATGGCTGTACCCCATAGCATTCCTCCTCCAACGGCAGCACCCATCGAGACTAAAGACCAAGTTTTTGCCCGTAGCAAGGCATTCTGGGATAACTATCTCCGGGGTCGCCCACAAGTTCCGCAGAGCTTCTTCCAACGCATCTATCGCTACCACTTGGAACACGGCGGGCGGTTTGGGACAGTTCATGACCTTGGCGCGGGGATTGGCCCGTACGCACAGCAGCTGCGGTCAAAGTTCGACCACGTTATTGTATCCGATATTGTGACGAAAAACGTGCAGCTGGCCGAGGAGCATCTCGGACGCGACGGCTTCACCTATCGCGCCGCGCCAGTCGAAGACGCGGACGACCTGCCGCCCGGAAGTGTGGATCTGGCCTTTGCGACCAATGTGATGAGTCGCGGTTCGAAAGAATACAATGTGGCTCCTCTGGAGCTGCAGTGGTTTCGACCAGGGGCACTGCGCCTCCACCTGAACATGGCCCAGGGCGGCATTACGGGCCTCCTACCGCCAGAGCGACAACATGAAGTGACGGATCCTGACTTCTCAGGCCCTAGTGATGTGGTCGTGTATGAAACTGATGAGGAATGGCGCTTTCAAACCGACTTTGAGGGTTTCCTGCAGCATTTCCGTTCATTTCCTCACGCAGGGGTCAATCCAGCGGCCTTTACAGGACTGTTGCAGGAGCTAAAGCACCTCGTGGGCGAGGATGTTGGCCAGCTACTTTGATTCTCGCAACGCGGCGTTAGGATTTCTATACCTGCAGTGAAATGCAGCGTCATGGATGATCAATAAACCTCATTTCATATAGCATCCTACCACCTTTAATGCATAATTGACCTCTGGTCTCTACAAGGTTCTTCCCCAAATTCGTTATTTAGTGGTGTCCTAAGTACCAACCGCCAGTTGTAGATCACCATTTTGTAAGGATAGATCCATGTATGTGTAGGATGATTATGTGATGAATATTATTATGAGAACTCCTATATACTGCAACCTTGTACAAGTACCCATAACGCAATAAATCCATCAAAAAGCGTATTCTGCCGAGGTTCTGAAACCGGCGCCGTGCCTGAATGATAGAATGCGCAATAAAGTGAGAATTAGGGGAGCTAGTCTATCATCTCTATCTCTATGTGGTGCTTTTATCCAAAATCACTCCTGACATATACAAAGTAAACAAAATATCGCTTGCAAACACAATTGTGCCATCCAACAGCTCTAGCCGTGGGAATCAGTCAACGTACTTGGGAAGCGTCTTCATGACGCCGTCCCGGGCAATGTCATTCATAGCGGTGGTGATCTCCTGGAGGAACCGCTTGTCGCTGCGCAAGTCGTCACCGAACAGGCTCTTGATGCTGAGCAGCTCAAGCGGGTCGGAGCCTCCAGCGCGAGCCTTGGCCTGGAGCTCCTCGCGCATCGGGTCGACGACCTCGAACGGCTTGCCACTGTCGTCGACACCGTTAACGTAGTGGAACCAAGCGGCCGCGACGAAGCACAGGCGACGGAACGGGCCAGTCACCCAGATCGCCTCGGCAATGGACGGCATGATAAACTGGGGAATCTTGCCGGAAGCGTTGAGGCAGATACGGGGCAGCTGGTCCATGATTGTGGGATTGGTAAAGCGCTCGATAAGCGTGTTGCAGTACTCGTCAATGTTGACGCCCGGAATCTCGGGCAAGAGGGGCTTGACCTCCTCCTGCATCATCTGCCACACGAACTTGCGGAAGAGCGGGTTCTCCATGACCTCGTGGACGTATTTGAAGCCGGCCAGCTGACCAGGGTAGCCCAGGGCCGAGTGGCTGCCGTTGAGCAGGCGCAGCTTGTGCTTCTCGAACTGCTCCACGGCGTGGACATCCTTGACGACCTGGACACCAACCTTCTCGAAAGGAGGGCGGCCATCGGAGAACTTGTCCTCGATCACCCACTGCGAGAAGGGCTCCGTGACGACGGGCCACGAGTCCACAATGCCAAAGTTGTCTGCGAGGGCCGTCTTGTCGGTGTCTGACGTCTGAGGGGTGATACGGTCGACCATGGCGTTGGGGAAGGCGCCTTCCTCGGCAATCCATTCCGCGACCTCGGGGTTGCGCAGGCGCGCAAACGACTCGAGCATATGGCGCGTGATAGATCCGTTCTTCTGCATGTTGTCGCACGACATGACGGTGAAGGGCTTGAGTCCCTGCTGGTAGCGCCGGGTCAGGCCCGCGTAGAGGAAGCCGAACGTGGTGCGCGGTGCCTTGTCGTTGGCCGGGTCGAGGTCGAACTGAATGTCCGGGTGCTCACTCTGCAGCTCATGTGTGTTCTCGTTGTAGTAGTAACCGCTCTCGGTGATGGTGAGCGACACAATTTTCGTGTCCGGGTGCGCCATCTTGGCGATAACGGCCTCGCGATTATCAGGGGCAAAGAGGTAGGAGTTGATGCTGCCAATGACGTGGGCGAAGCTTCCCTTGGCCGAGCGCTCAATGAGGGTGTAGAGGTGGTCCTGTGATGCCAACGCGTCGCGCATTGCGGAGTCGAAGGGCTGCAAGCCAACGCCGCAGATTGCGTAGTCGGTCACGCCGTGCTTCTGCATCAACTGGTCGATATAGACAGCCAGGTGAGCACGGTGGAAGCCTCCGACACCAATGTGGACGATTCCCTCCTTGACGGCGCGACCGCGCTGGTAGGTTGGGATCTTCACCAGCGCGCCACCGGCCGCCGCAATTTGCGACAGACTCCTGCTACTGAGCTTGAGGGGTGCCATTGTGATCAAATGAGTTGGAAGAATGAATGACAAGGGTGGGTTTGTGAGGATGAAGGGGTTTGCAGCGGCTGAATCGAGGGTCACCGCTGCTTTTGACTGCTGATCACAGGAAAAGAATGTCCAGGGAGTAGCATTCTTACATCATGGGCTGGGGTTCAAATAGGGGCCAGTGGCGGGGGGATAACTTACTCATCCTCGCCATTCCTGCCCGAGCGGTGTACCAGGAGTACTTGATAAGGAAATTGGGAAAACAAGACAACTTAAGTACAGAGTACCTCACCTTGCATGAGCACCAGAGAGTGGCGTCATGGTAAGAGTTTTCTGCCGCTTCCAGAATGAATTATATAAGCTTCTCTCAGTCCTTGCTATTGGTCGCCACATCCCGTATCGGCAGCCTGACTCGGGATTTGCCAAACCGGTCTGCAAACTCTGCATATACTCCGTATGGCACACCGACTATCCCTCTCCCTCCGATCACAATCCGTCAGAATTTGAACCACGCCGCCGGGTCTAGTGAGTCTGGATTTGATAATGAATCATGGCCATACTCTCTATGTAGCGCCCATACAAGCATCCCAGTTTCACAGAGGAACGATAACTACTGCCAGACTATTGACTTTCAATCTGCTATGGTCTAGAAAAAGTCCTTTCTGCTTCCTTCAAAGAGGTAATTCCAGGCCTTGCCTTCTCATCGACCCCACGCGGCCAGCCCAATCCCGAACTTAACATTGGCTGATGGTGGAGCATGGGGTACTCCGTAGGTAGGTAGCTATTCCTGTAACGAAGGGGCTGGAAAAACCAATCATATCATGTGATGACTACACGGCCCCTTTAATCTGGGGCGGCATCCTCCCGGCAGTCCCGACTACGGCTTGCTCCTTGGAGGAATAACAAAGGACCTCACATGACCCTTCTGGTTATTAGACTCTGGTGACCCCTGTAAAATCCAAGACAGTACTATTGTTTAAGTGTGCACATAGCCATGATGTTATCCTTTACTCTACTTGGTTTGGCGATTCAGATGAGACAAAGTACTCGACATTTTTCTCCTTGGGTTTTACTACATACTACATATCCCGTCATCGACCACGACGCGTACAATCAATGGGTTGTTTTGATGCGACTTACTGGTGTGATGGACTTCTTGCCTTCAATTAAATATGCTAAATATGTGCAAAAACAGCTGACCAAGAAAGCGGTCAACGACAACATGATATGTTTTGGTGGTTGGTGGTAATATATAATCAGGATTGTGCACCAAGGCCGACGCTAGTAGCTGGATTATTAGGTTCAGTTTCTAGTCATGACCCTGCTGGAGTGGACTCCTGAAGCAGCTGAAAAATTGCCAGGGGTAAATCGAGACTGCGATGGCCTTATGGAGCTCCTAGAGTCTGTGTGGCTGGTATCGGACACGTTGCTAGATCCCCATGGCGTTCAGATAAAATGTCTAAGCAAGGGATTGAGGTCCCGTGATACTATGGACCTTGATCCAAGCTAACTATGGTCTGGATCTAGACCCTCCGGACCTGCGTGGGGACTGTAATGCCGGATTTTATCAGGTCATGCGCCAGACAAGCCTTATTTCTAAAAAAGGAAAAACAGAGGGAATATCTCCGTAAAAAGGTGGAATAAGCAAGGGGACTCTGCGTCCTGCAAAGCTATTATTATTGATCTGCATTATTATTTTAGGTACCTTGACTTCTATCACCTGGGAATTCTGGATGCAGGCGTGGTTAATAAGTATGATGGAGCCTAACATAGTATGGCATATGCAATCGTCTTATAATTGCCTAGGTCTTGTCTACTTTGCCCCCATCTTTTCGGATCAACCTTACCTTAGTGTAGACCGATATTGGTTTGCATGTATCTCACTCTAGCCTCACATAAAGACACACAGTAACGCCTGTCATGGCGCCCCTTTTGACCCGTATCCAAGATTGTGTGTGGACTTCTGCTGATGTCCCCGAAATCAAGGACAAGAATGCATCAGTTATATTACGGGATTCAGTGGATTTCTCACTCTCTTATAGTCCAGATAAGCTTCTCAGTGTGTTTACCTCGGAATATCAGTGCTCTCTCGGTCTTCCACCTAGCATCATAACGCTCCTCAATGCCAGTTGGCTGCTCACTGTGCGCTGCTTCTCTCCGGCGCAGGAAATCTACCTCGGTCGGCATTCGGAGCGCGGCGTGTACTTCATCACTAGATTGGCACAGGGGGGAGGCCGCCGTGTCGCCATCGAACTGAACTGCGAGGCTCCGGTCAAAAACCTCATCCGAGATGTCTCTCTTATTCAGTCTGAGGCGACGTCGCAGATGTCAGTGGGCGACGATTCTTCCGACGAGGCCGCTGAGAAATTTCTGACGACCACGATTTGCTACACGGAAGAATTATCTGCCATGACAGAGGGATCAAGAGAGGGAGATTTTAACCCAGGGGTATACATTTCCCTTTCCTTCAACCGCGGCCCGCACGCTCTGTACATCTGCGTCCGCTAACAGGTTGTAAATCCGACAGCACATCAATTCCAAGCTCTTCCTGGGCATCTGTCAAGCAAACGGTGAACTTCGAGCGAAGCTCACCTTTTCTGTCTCCGACATCTCTAGAGATCTTGCACTTAGTATGTTGCACACCTTTGATAGGGCCATCGGGGCGGTGCTTTCATCTCCATTACGATCCCTGGGAGAGTTGGACCTGTGCTCAAAACACGACCGTCAGTTGTTGCAAAGATATACTGAGAGTGTATCCGAATCCTATGAAGTGCTGCTGCACGACTTAGCCTTACGGCATGCACAGCTAACCCCTGATGCACCGGCTGTTCATTCATGGGATGGTGACTTGACCTACGCACAGCTGGATGATGCAACCTCTCGACTTGGACAGTTTCTGGCCAGTATCGGTGTAGGTCCGGGAAACTTTGTAATCAGCTGTTTTGAGAAGTCTACGTGGGCAATTGTCGCCCGCCTGGCTATTATGAAAGCCGGCGCCGCATATATCTCCGTTGACGCGACTGATCCGCCCGTTTACCTTGAGAATGTGATTCGCCGCGTGAATGCAAAAATAATCCTCACCTCCCCAGCCTATCAACCTAGATACACCCCTTTCGTCCCGTCGGTCATTGCAGTTACACCAGAAATGGTACATGCTCTTCCAGTCAGCACTGGTATCATCTGTCCCCTGGTAAAACCCAGTGATGCTTGTCTCATCTTGTTCACTTCGGGGAGTACTGGAGAGCCAAAAGGAATTATTCAAGAGCACCGAGCGTATGCTACGGCTGTCCGGGATTACAACAAATTGCTTGGAATAGGTCGCCACAGCCGCGTGCTGCAATTTGATGATTACGCGTTTGATATCAGCAATAATGACTATTTGACCACCCTCACCGCTGGTGGATGCTGCTGTGTCCACACTCCGGGCAAGTCTATATCTACTCTCGTGGAGAACACCAATACCCTTCAGGTCAACATGACCTTTCTGACCCCGACTATCGCCGCTCAAATTTCCCCTCAGGATGTGCCAACGTTGGAGTTGGTCTGCCTTGGTGGTGAGCCCATGTCAAACGAGCTCCTGATGAGATGGTCCCCTCATGTGAGACTGGTCAACCAGTATGGCATGGGGGAGGCTGCCACCTTCTGCGCGTACAACGACCAAGTCAAACCGGGCCAGAACGCTATTGTCGGACGCAGCGGAAGCGGAGCCATTTGGATAACCAGTCCGGAATCTCCGGAGTGCCTGATGCCCGTCGGCGCCGTCGGCGAGATTCTGATTGAAGGCCCCCACCTGGCCCGAGGATACCTGGATGGTGTCTGCCAGAAACCCGATGTTGGATTCTTACCGAGTGTACCAACCTGGCTCAAAGATCTCCACCCGTCTCGGGCAGCCACGTCCAGGTTCTATCGCTCCGGAGACCTGGGGAGATATACACATGCCGGCATTGTGGAACATCTGGGCCGCAAGGACACCCTCCTCAAAATTAATGGATATCGAGTCGAAGCCACCGAGGTTGAGTACGTCCTCCGTAGGTTTTTGGGCCCTGGGGACGCGGTCATCGTGGACCTGCTCGGCGAGATCGATGGCCCTCGAGAGCCGTTTCTAGTCGCTTTCCTGTGGTTGCCTAACAGTGAGGACCATTTCGTCCCCGCTGCTTCGCATAACTCGGTCGTGTTTCTTCCTATCACCAGTCACCACTCGGCTCATCAATTGGCGCAAAGGATGAAGGTCGAGGTCATGGCTACGCTGCCTGTTCACAAGATACCGGAATACTTTATTCTCGTCAGTCACATCCCCAGAACCAGGTCTAATAAAACTGACCGCCGCAAATTGCACCACCTCGCGCAGAAGTCCTACTTGTCGGGGGTTCTAAGCAAGATTTAGGACAATGAGCGATTTCTCACTATCCTCAATACTACATCTTTTGGTGTTGTTAATGTAATATATCCTAGTAATAGTTTAGTATCTAACTAATGTACTTTCAGTGGAGTCTGCAGTCAGTTCTCTTTACCTAAATTATGTAACTGCCTGAAGATCCCTTCAGAGACTAAGACGCTCTTATCATTAGTGAAAACCTGCTGAGGTCTGATACAGACAGTACCATTTGATGATGTAATCAATGAAAAGGGCTAAAATACGCCCACTTGGATCACGAAGGGTATCTACGTCTTAATTGCGGAGTAGAGATCAAAAGCTGGGGTAAAGTAACGAGCGAACTTGCGGGGAAATGCAGGCCACGGAACATTCCCAATTCCCAATCCCACCCTTTTTGCTTGTTAGCCTTGCATTTTACCCCGGATCGACCATGAGATCGTGTCAGCAATGTCGAAATGCCAAGCGCAAGTGTATTCCTGGCAAGGGCAGTGCTCTATCGGCTCCCTGTGACCGTTGTCTGCGCCATCGTCTTCCGTGTTCACACTCCCAGGCCAACCACCTACCCAGGACGCGGACTCTCTGCAAATCGCCGAGTGGACCTGATTCCTCTAAGACAAATGACGTTCTCTTGGAAAACCTTATGCCAGATCGCTTCGGTAGGACATAAGACCACCCACCCTGATGGGTTCGAGGATGGGTTCAAGGATGGAAGGGAATCTTCCACCGATGATTTCCAGATCCCACATTCTCCTCTAGATCGCTGGATCTTCAGCAGTTTGGACCTTGACCACGGCTCGGCAGTTTGGTGGGACGACCAAGTCCAGACAGAATATAACCGCTCCATCTCCATCTCCATCGTGAACCACTTTCCACAGGCAGCTCCAGAGGCCGTAGACACTTTCGTACGATACTGCAGCGTGCGTCAACGACCCTCCGGGCTGTGGACACACCAATGCGGTCTGCCAGCCAGCTTGGAGCGGCTGCAAGCCGCCCACAGTCTCGTGGAGCCAACTGACCACGGACCCCAAGGCATAATGATTGAAAGAAGTCATTTCGCCGGGGTTAATGGACCCATTTGGAAGCATACTGTCCCAGCGTTCCCAAATGGTTGTGCCGCAGAGAAGGAACATAACCAGGTCGCATTTCATCGGTGGATCGTCGACAAGTCAAACTTCCGTCGTCTGCTACTGGCTTGCGCTATGCAAGCCGCCACACAAATGACGGGAGTCTCCGCTATTCATCTTTGTACGTATTCCTTGCAATAAGACCCTCTTCTTCTTCTTCAAACGGCTGGCTGTAGCTTCAAACTAGAAACAAATCGGCATTGATGGGACGGACACTCTGCGCTACCAAGCCATCAACTCAATCATTGGCCTCATTGGTGAATTCCTTCTTATGATGGTCGTCGATAAAATCGGTCGTCGCAAACTCGTCGTGGGTGGAAATCTTCCCATGTGTCTCACATACGTGATCAGCACAATCCTTCTCGCCCAGTTTCCTCCTGAGGTGAACAGCTCGGGTGCACACTGGGGTTTCATTATCATGACATGGGTCTTTAATTTCTGCTTTGCCAGTATGGGATCATTGTGTATGACCAACTTCCTTCCTTTCATATTATTCTTTGACCGATTCAGGGAAGTCGTCTCTAAATCTTACATAGCTTGGATGATTCCCGCCGAGATTTTCGATACAGCAACACGAGCGAGGGGGGTAGCCTTGGGCTGCATGGTATCATTTGCCTTCAAGTGTGTCCTTTCCCAGCCTGAATCTCGCTATAGTAGAGAAATAAAGCTGATAACTCATCCTTCCCTCTTAGCACAATGATCGGTCAAGTTACACCCATTGGAATGGCAAACTCTGGATAGAGATTCTACATCCTGTTCGTGGTGAGCATCCATCAAATTGCTCCGTGGTCTCCCTCTTGCATCCCAGGATACTCCGGGGAACCTTCACTGGTAGCTGACATCCTGTATCTAGGTCTGCAATTTCACCAACGCCGTCTTCTTCTGGGCCATGCTCCCGGAAACGAAACAGTTGCCCCTGGAGGAGATGAAGAAACTCTTCACCGAGACTCCCTGGTTCATCGGCAATTCCATCAAAAGCGAGCATCGAGTCACGGAAACCAGTATCCTGGCGCAGCGAATTAAAACCATAGGATTGGAAGACTTGACTGGCACAACCGAGCATAAGGAGGAAACCGCTTAAACGGAGCCAAAAGCGGGACAAAGGTAATGAGATTGTGCTCAGAATAGTTGAGCGATGTTGATCCAGCACAGAATTCCTGGGTGACTCCGCTTGCTTTCTTATACCTTGACTACGACGTCAGCTTTCTTGAAGAAATACTTTTATTACAACAGTCAGTCGTCTGTGCGCTCACTTCCGACGCTCTAATTTAATCGTTCTTGAGAGCAAAATGGCGGTCATTCATAGCAATATTCAATTTTTGCCTAATTCCACACGACCAATGTCCCTGGCAGGGTCATCCGTAGACCGACGGACAAAAACGATTCCTCTAAGCTGACGCCACGTCTTCCCGGATAGGTCTCTAGCGAGATCCTTTAGCCCTGTAAAAATTGTGCCAAGAACTGAGAGGATTTTTGAATCTGCTAAAACTTATTTATTACACTAGCGCGCTGCTAGGACTTTTAGTGTATGTCTCCACTCTGCAAGTCGCAACTCAATCAGGACATCAAAAAAGGGGTTCCCCCTCTTTGATCGTCACTTCGTGCTGCGATCCATTTTTGGACTTGATACAAATTCTCCGAGGAATCATGCAACTTCTGATGCCGTGGTGGCTCCTCCTAGGCCTTTTGTCTGTCTCTTCTGCAACTGCGACACAGAATGGAACTGAAGGAATCGATCTGTTTGAGGTCCATCTTCCTGTAGACTGGAAGGCCGCAGTCGCTGATGGGGTGAAATTTGTCTTTGTCAAGGTGGGTGAGATCGATCAAAACGATCGACGTGTTCATTCCCCGTTTTTCTCCAACCTATCTTAAGTGTATGTAATCTGGCCCGGACTTATTATTGACCGACGCTCGCCACAGGCAACTGAAGGGATCAGCTATCAAAACGTACGCTTCCCTTCTCAAACAGCCGGCGCTGTCGCTGCGGGGATTCTCCATGGCGCAGTGCACTTCGCAGCTGCGGCGGAAAGCAGCGGAGCCGATCAAGCAGATTTCTTCATCGAACATGGAGGGAACTGGACCGCGGGTGGACAGACCCTCCCTGGGGTGCTGGAGATGGAAGGCAATATTGCAGGGAAGCTTTGTCATGGGATGACGCCAGCCGAAATTACGGACTGGATGCTCGATTTCTCTCACAGGTACAAGTTCCGGACGGGTCGAGCGCCGATTCTGTTCCTCTCAGCCAGCTGGTGGGCAAAGTGCGCGGGCAACAATGCGACATTTGGCGCGAACCATGCATTATGGTTGGCGAATTGGGCTGAGGAGATGGGCGCGCTGCCGGCAGGCTGGGAGGAGGCTACGTTCTGGCAATATGCTGGTTGGAGTGAGAATGGAGGCGAGGCTAATGTGTTTTTTGGTAGCTCCCAGGACTTAGCAAATTTTGCAATGGGAGCTGAAGAATGAAATGGGTTGCAATGGCAATTCTTTCCATTATTCTCTGTATCTATAGTCAAAGGTATTGCGCCAGTGGGAAGAATAAATGCAAGAAATATATACCAGCTGGCGGCGTCTTGACCAGTATGTTACCACTACTGATATCCGGACACGAAACGGGGAACTGACTCTGTCGCACTCAACTCTCTGTTTAGTTCACAGATATGTCATCAATTGTAACAAAAGAAAATCATACTGGCATGTCCAGCGAGCCGCTGGACCTCCTCGTTTGGATTTAAGTTGTTAGAGGCTTAAAGTAGCCATTTTCTGAGTCTGGCAGGTAAGATACATTGTCCAGAGCCGCCAGGCCCACCATATCGTAATAAACAATGGGTGCTGCACTCGGGATCCTGCTTCGCAGTGATATACTCATTAAGATCCAAGAACAAGTTATCGGTGTTGGGTACGGTGAAGTTCAGACTCGCCGAGGCTTCAGTTGGGGAGATGCTGGAGTGCCATATGAGCAGGGCAAATTCCCCTCGCTTGAGCTAGCAGGACAGATTGGGGCAGTTCAGGATATACGCCAAATCTTACTGGAATACTCTGTCCCCCCATCACCAAGGACCTGAAGCTGGTTCACAGCCCCGTAATATGCAGTTTGGTGTCCGCCTGGTGCTACCGCTCCCAATGGCACGAATATATTCCCCGTCCCATTCGGGGCTCCGGGAATCAAGTCCTGTCGCCAAATATTGTATGACGATGAGATTGGTGGGTCATTTCCGTCTTTTGTTGACCTTATCTGGCCAGACCGTTCGAGTCCGGACACGGCGCTTCTCTTCGAAGCCCGCGATGATGATGGGGCAGTGTCGCAGCCGGGGAGCATTCGTACGATGAATCTGTCACCAGTCTGTAGATTGTACAATTGATTCTATCGTCTTATTAGGGACCTTTGATGGAGTTCTGCCACCACACGATGCACATAGTACGCGCTCCGCATCACCTCCTTCCATAGTTGATCCTGAGTAGAAGTAGAGAGCGTATACGTCAACAGGGAGGCGACAGCTGCCTGGCCGTGGGAGTTCAGTACGTACCAAATGGGAATTTATCACACTGAGTTGCTTCATTATACTTCGGATCTATCGTACCTGTCGGACGAGAAGATCAACCACTCCGCCCAAGAATGAATTCGAGTCGGGTATTGGGCAGTGATAATGCGTACCTGGACAGGCTGGACAGTTTGGGGTTTGTTTTCTATACCCTCGCTTTGTCAAGATCATCTTGTTGTCCCCTATTCTACCTGGCCATTGTTTATGCGGGATTCCTAGATGCCCCGGATTAGCTCGGCTTGTACACATTCTGCGGATAGAACAAACTTACCTCCACACATGCTCTCAACCAGTTCTTCCGTGAGACCTTCCACGGAGACAAAGTCCATTACTGGTAGACATTCCCACTAATCGAAATATAGTCTCCCTTGTCGTATATATCCCTTGGCACGTTGCGGGTTCCCTTTGGCTTGCATGTTGCTGAGGGCAGTTTCGAGGTAGATGTTTTCGTTAAGGTCTTGATACTCATGATCGTCCTCGTGCTTGTGCTTGTGCTCACGCTCGTCCGAGTCACCGAGGTGAGAATTATTTCTCGGCAAAAACCACCAGCAACACATACAGCGCCTGCATCACAGCCTATGAAAGAAGTTGCCATTAGCACAACAGAGATTGGAATCATAGACCTCAGATGTAAACATCACCACGCACATCTTCCACCATCACAAGCTGACATGCCGGGCCGACAGCATACTTCCTTGCCTCCGGAGGATTCCATGCATTTGGCACCGACCCCCCAAGCACTATTGCCACAGCGAGATTCCCCTTCCCGCAGACAATATCCTCGATTGCAGGTCTCCGCAAACAGTCCACTCTATGAACTTTTAATCCGCCCAATTCGACGTCTCCTTCATATTGTTCTAGTGCTACTGCTTGCGTATGCATGCATTACTAGTACTTTTAGCTGTGTGAGCTGCCTGTATTAGCTGCAAAAACCCGCTACCACACTTATAGTAGATTATTCGTGCAAAAGGTCATATTGAAGTCTTATCATCGTTGCATCACCACTATCGCCATTGTGCAGTCGTATGCACATCTGCAAAATAGGTGGATCTGGGGTGGCCCTGAACCCCAGCCACATGCAGATAGGTGGGCCATGCCTAACCCATAGGGGTAACCCACTCCTTAGGTGCATCTGGTTAGGGCCACACTATTGGACTGTTTCGTTCAGCACATTTGATTTTCAGCTGGATCATGTCACACGTTGGACATATACGGAGTACTGTAATCACCTAATTGTCAAGTATTTACAGATTTTGTGGCGTAATAAGCCTGCATGGATGAAGTCTTACTCACATGTCATACACCTCAATGGCATTGACTTTTGCTCGAATGCCTCCCAGGTTATGTTGTGAGATTGCTCTGTAATTATTACTGATCCATATGCAGGTGAATGCAGCCATTTAGACGATCTATTTGCCACAGCCTATCGCTGGGTTGCCTCCCGCTCGAGGCGAACCGCTGATCGAACATAAATGATGCGATCGCCGTTGTAAAAAGCATATCTTGACGTAACAACTCATGCAGAGGGTCCATTATCTTGATTGACATTGACAGTATGAAGAATACACATCAACGTGTCGCCTCATGGTAGGACTGAGACCCTGCAGGCAGGAAGTGTCTGTGGGCGCCCATTAGCTATGCACTGAGAGACTATGCCCCTGGGACTTGGGCTTAGTGCGTCATATTTGTATGGAGCCACAAAATCAAACTGGTAAAAGCAATTGATTTATATATTCCTTTCCATGTAATCTGCTTTCGAATCCCAGGTGCAATAGTACCGAATGTTTAATTCCACACTACTGAACACCTGCTTCCTGTGATCTGCAGGTCTAAAAGTTTGGAGGATGGGAGCTGAAACACTGCCACCCTTGTTTCCTTTAAGACGATGAAGATCTATTTCCTGTGCTTTGCTTCCATATTCAGCTCTGGCGGGGTACTGTCAATGTATACTCCAGTCCCCCTCTGCAGGCTCCACATACGACAGTCAGTATGCGCAATCACCCCCGCCTGCAGTGATAGATAGGTGGGGATTCATGGTTCTGCCAAATCCAGTAGGGACTTACAAGTTCATCGAACAGTTCGTCTGAATCTTTGCAGATCATATTTACTTGTTTCTCCCTGCTGCTATCCTGCGCAGGTGACGTCGTAGGCGCTTAATTCCGTGGACTCTTGTGAGAATTGACTTGTCAAGAATATTTTGCTAACTGTGAGTGACTGAAGTGTTAAATACAGGCTACATCCCTTGCTTAGGATTGAGGAAACTGAGAAAAACAATCTCGGCTCGACTGTATACTTTGGACTCTTGCAAAATCAACACTTATCTTAAGATCCTGATTTAATTTGGTACTTTCTTTGCCGTCATGCCTGGTACTAAAGATCAAAGTAAGGGAACTACTACCCAACCACCAAAGGAAGCCAAAACGGACCCCAAACAGCAGAAAGCCTTGAAGGAACTGGAGGGTCAAATTAAGGATTCAGAGAAAGGTGAGAGATTCTGGTGGTCATTTGAGCAGCACAAGTTCACAAAATTAACCAATGTGTC